CCACCACCACCACCACCATCCTGGTAAACAAGCAATCTGGCTCTATACTTTGGTTTATATCAATCGGAATGAATTGGATATGGCGGTCGAACATTGTTAATCACCGTCATAGAAAATAGTTTATCTGGGTTTATACTCTACACAGTTCACGTAACTAAACCTTCTGCAATATTAGGTTTTGCGGACGGTTAATTCGTGCCTCTTCATTCATCATAAATTACAAACAATTATTTCATCCCGTATTTTTTAAATTTACATCAGTAAATGTTAGTCGGGATTATCCACTATGAGTAATACTTGAAAAATTTCTAGTGTTAATAGATAGACCCTGGTGTGAGTGGATTCTCAGAGACTGAACCAAAAACCAGTTAAATTAGTTCCTACAGTCATGCTCTCAAGGTATGTAGCTCTGGTACATGGATTTGGAGCTCTGTCCAGCGTAAACAAAAGTAATACACCTTGGAGAGCGTAAAACGGTGTCGGTTAGCATGCACGAATTTCCCGGCTGAGGCGAGTGTGTTTGTGCGGATTGATGATCTCCCAAGGATTGGGACGCTCGTTATGCAATAACTAGTGTTTCTGAATTCACGTGCACTAAAACAAAAATACGTTTGATCAATCAATTAAAAGTGGTATTTTTCACGCAGAAAAACAATAAATGATTTATCTTATCCCTAAACGTCAATGTGAATTAACTGATAGTTCGTGCCAATACTGAATCAAGCTCGTTAAAGTGCACAAGCACGCACCAGACTTTCTGAGATTCGAACCTTGACACCGCCACACGAATTCGGTATAATGCAACTTCGCTATCGATCAGCTCAATGACACCCTCTTGTGTGGTGACCAATAGACGGGTAAACCCATAGTCCCGAGAACCTGTTTGTGAGAATCGACAACGGAACGTCGAATAGCGAATCACACAATATTGTGGGGTTTGATGTGGGACACCACTCCAAGTCCCGGGGCTTAGGTCGCCGGTTTCTATGAATGAAGGCGGTCTTTGTGGCTAACACCTTTGGCTGCTCATCAAAAAAGGTGCGCAATAACAATTTTTGGTACATGTGAGATATTTCGGCGCATAGTTTAAAGACACCACGCCGATTGATGTGAAACTACCTGATCAAGTGGATCCAATTTTATTTTTCTTGCGATGCTGAGATCTTAGGTCCTCTGCATATACGGTAGTGAACCTTTTCAATTTTGTTCGACGTGGCCTGGTACTGATGTCCATGCTAAAACAATAGGACTGGTATGCGCCGATTTCGACGTAGTATATGATAATTTGTCATGTTAAAAGGTGTCTTACAAGTCGAATATAGTTTATACATAGACCTTCAGGTCGATCATTACAATTTAAACCTGAGTTGTTGAACTTAGAAATTCGATTCAAAACCTACCTTATACAGTTGATGCGAGAAAGCAATTTTTCCACCGGTGTGATGAACTCATAATGAATGTATGCATGCAATCAGAGGAGAATAATTTCCACATTCCAAGAATGGTTGGTAAGTCTGCTGATCGGAAAGTGCCACTTGTCCAGTGAATTGCATCGAGTGAAACGTTTCAACCACGAAACAAGATTTACTTTTCCCTGCTCGCTGTTTCAGTCAAAAGGTGTCTGTTCTGATTGGTTTATGCTGTCTTTGGTATTTATCCTTTCTAACTGCTCATTTGTGTTCATATGAATCAATTCATCGTTCCTTCACGCTCCTTTCCCTTACTAGAAAGCTGATTTGGCTGTCGGATCATTCACAATCACTTACGACAGGGATCGTGTAATCGACTTCACCACACCTTTTATGTATCTGGGCATCAGCATTATCTATAGAAGACCCGAGGATAAAGAGTCTCATCTGTTCTCTTTTCTGCAACCTTTGTCTGCTCCGGTAAGTTTGTTTTTTGTATTTGGCGAGCATGACCCATTTTACTCGCTAGATTAGAGTTGTGATCAAGAAGGAAAAAGGACTACAAACCAAGCAATATTTGACAATTTGGATGGAATAACCTAGCGGGTTTATTTACCCTTTGCAATTATCAAGGTTCCTATTACTAGTTGGCGGCGTATAGCGTCATTCTTCATCAAGCAATAGTGATCTTTATGGGCTACACTATGACTTACTGTCTTGAGTATTGCTGTAGTAAATGAGCGTATTTGACAGACTGGTCAGCATCACGAACCAGTCAGTCACGCGAAACTTATATTCCATTCGAACATATCCCCATGCGAAAACCGTTCAAACATCTGCGCTCCACAATACCACAATACGTTGCGTTTCCATGTTTAACTATCTACTGTAATGGTTGTATGAGACCTAACAAAAATAAACAGATCCGACAAACTATGGTGTCAAAACAGATACACGAACACCACCCCCGCTGATTGAGACGGTGAACCTAGGACAGTTGGAAGTTTTATCTGTCAAAATATACTAGAGACACGGTACGTAGCTGATATTCGCTAAGCTTTCCGAACCTTACTTCAAACACTTTCATCATTACCGAAACATCATGGGATTATCATCCTATACACATTCGAAGCATTGCATTCCGCTCCGTAATCAGAAGCAGTCTGTTCGGGCTTTACTCTTGCCATGACCTCGAATAAAGAACCCAGCAATGCGCCCTAGAGGCATCAGCAATCCCACTGAGACGAGGCCAATGCGATCACACAGTATACGCCATTTGTATATGTTCTGATGTGATTAAAACCAGATCAAACGGTACAGATAATCTCCGTATGATTGTGTTGGCCAGGTGGTGAATTACTGAAAAGCAGCTTGTTCGCCTACCAAACTTCGATTTAAAGTGGCGATAGGGATTTTTCTTTTATTGAGATATTTGTTTGACAGTTTCAAACTTTTTTGATAGACGTATAGACAATGTTCTTGCATTAAACTGAAAGCTTGCCTGTAATTTGCTAAAGCTGGAGTACAAAAAGAAATAGCTTCTGGATAACGAATTGAGATCAGAATAGGTTATTTTGATGGTCGCATTCTCCAGATAGTTTTATTCGATTTAATCGTATCATACAATATGTGTTCTGCTTGTCATTGCGTAGTGCTATGTATCTCACGGAGCAGATTTTGAAGGCATTTTGAGCCGAAGCGTCTTAACGGTCAATAACTGTTCCCGGCGGGCAACCAGCGGGTGCACCACATGATCGACCAGGCGGATCCGATTGGAATACAATTGAGTCCGTTAGGTACAACAAATGAGCAGCCAGTCGATCAATGATGTAACACTTCGGTCCACCCTTTTTGTACACCTAATAGATCGATTGATCCATAATCAAGCCTGTCTTGTGTTTAGATCAATTAATCACTGTGCCTTGGTGCTCATGGCGCGTTCTGTCTCTGACCGTTGGGGCCAGATGAATGCTCTTATGATCAGTTAGGTAGAGGTGTAAACAATACCTTCCGATGGATAATTTAGTTTAGTGACTGACAAAGAGCACCAGGCAATCGTTTTTTCCTTCGTTTGACCTTCCGGCGATGCGTACCATTACTGTTCTCTTGTCCGGTAAAAACGAACTCCCAAGTAGTGAAACACACTGATGACAATAAATTTAAACATATTACCCAGTACCTGTGAACCTTGGTGAGATACCCAAATATTGCACTTCAGATTTCGGAACTTTCCCCATCGTCCCCGGGGTTCTACTAGTTGCTTTGACCCTACTACTACAACTACCACTTTTTTAAACAGACATCAAAGTACAATATAGTGTTGATCAAACTCGTGCAACATCACTCATTTTTAGTCTCCCATAACATACTTGCATCTTGATAGCTATGGGTAAAGTCTATTTATTCCTGATTTTATCTCCCACTTCTACTTCCTTAGTACTCCTCTATCGCCGATTGAATATGCGCGACCTTGAGTGTTACGATAAAATTCATAGTAGTTCGAAAGTTACAGCTGAGATTTCTAAAATGCTTTAAGCAAAGCAGCATGGTAGTTCATTCTTTTCAATAAATGACTCGTGTTCCATGAGTGTCTATTAAGTTGAGCACACGTATTCTACATTGCTTATGTCTTTTCATTCAGTGCACAGTAAATAAGCTAATTAGTGAAAATATTCTGACTTAAATAACTTGATACATTATTTGGCTACAAAATACTCATACATTATCCATAATACTGAAAGAACTGAAAATACGGTCCAAGAAACAACCAAGTTGATATTCGAAAGTTGACCTTGACATGTGCGACTCGAATAAGCGTCCTGTTGTGTCACCATACCCGAACCGGATGAAGCATTCAAAACATTTTGATATATAATTGAAGCCTAGAGGCGAGTTAATCGAAAGGCGCATAAATCCGATGACCCAGTTGGTGTCTTGTGGAAGTGATTCGCTGTGAGCATAAGTCCATTTTGTTGCATATACAACGAAATTTCTCCCGAGAGGGAGAAATCCGATCATATTGAGGCAAATGATGATTGTGCTTGATCGCAGCAGAGAAGAGTTGCATAAAACCAATCTAGAGGATAGTCCGGACTGCTTAACCGTTTTTTCCTCACGCTGTCGTTTGGAAAATGATGTCTCAATTTAAAGTGCAGCTGCGGCCACGTGATATAAAGCCGTTATGGAACGCTCAACAAAGCAGAGCATGTATCGATTTTACGAACAGATTCAAATGGAGTCTCCTGTCCATTTGGCAGTGCGTTTATCTCACTGGTGGCCAACGGGTAATTCAGCATATGATGAAGGCTGATCTACTGAGCTAGTTTTCTAATGAATTTCGTTTTACCTGTCAAAAACAGTAAATATTCATCCCGCCTGACGAGATGGAAAAGAAGTAAATACTGAGCGCCTTGTTATTGGTCTCCTGCACACACCAAAAACTATGCCTACTCGAAATAAGACCCAGATCGATCAACCGGCATAGGGTGCCGGCGGCTAACGGGTGCCCCGGATATCGCAAACGTTTTTGCACTGATATAGGAGGTTTTCGGTAACTGCTACTCTTCCAATGCATTTGTGGAAGTCATGTGTTGTCGCTTGAGGTTGGAGGTAGAAAACTGTTAGATCTAAATAAATATTATTTTTTCGCATTTATTCAGTCCATGGAGGGGTCAAGTTCAATATCAAATTCATTCAGTTACCGCGCAGCAGCTGGGATTTAATTCAAATTTTTTTCCTTTTATCAGGAACAGGGACAAGTTATTTGCGTTGACATTGGTCGGCAGTGGTTAGGGTGCGTGGTGTATCAGAGGAAACTGGCAAACTCCGTTTGGCAGTCAACTAGGCGGACTCCATGCCAAAGCGATGGTCTCCATTGCTCAAAAATGAAGAACAAATGGAACTTGGACTAGCTGAAAGTACAATATCTGTTTCAAGTCTATGAGCCATTTTAATACATAAATTCTAGTTTCGTTTTCTACTGTGATTTTGTCATTTTACAACTGATGTACCCCCATCCATCGTCATAATCGCAGAATCCTACATTTTAATATCATGTGGTTAATGAAGGCAAAGACACAAGTGGGTATCATATCAAATATGTTGCCTGATATGGGGCAATAAAATATCATATTCAATCCCGTGAATGAAGCCGGAAAAACGAAGCATCGAGAGGAAAAAATGTGATGAAAGTCAGCATGTTGCACGCGTTTTGCCATTACCTGTAGTCTTTTGTCCAGGAATAGCATACTTTTAGTACAGCGCCCTCGAGACACTAACCACTGAATATCTTTGACGTAATCACATTCTCGTTTTTACTATCCAGCAATTTTCAGTGCCTAGATTTCACCAGCTAACATCGTCATATTGCACTCTCTATGCCGTCCAATTGTAGATGTATAGAAATACACAAACACACTGCCACTACCGTTGCTCTCCAATTCCAGTAACGGTGGTGCTTTATGATTTTCTTCCACAAAGTCTATTCCACTACGAGTTGTTCTGGTTGATAATTCCCATTTGTTTTCCGCTTCCCGCATTTCAGGTGTGGGGCTATATTTTGGCCGCAACTATCATGGTCAGTTTGGTTCTATTTGTCGTGGCCCGATTCAGTCCTTACGAATGGAAGAACAAGCATCCGTGCAACGCCAACTCAAATGTGATTGAGAACAATTTCAATGTGCTGAACAGTTTGTGGTTCACGTTTGGTTCGCTCATGCAAAAGGGTCAGTTGCTTTCAATATTTCATTTCCTTTGGCCTAGTCGGAACAAAAGAACCTCAGAATGGGATATAATGACCACAGTTAAAATATTGTTTTGATGAGAGAGGGTTGCCGAGATAGTCACTGAAGTACCTTAGACTGCATAAGTTCAGTGGTTTGTGAGGTACGCTAAATACTTGGTTGGGGATGTTTTAAGAAGCCAAAACGTGACCTCACACTGCTGTCGTGAATTTCATTTTCATAATCATTGAATGGATTTTGAGCTTTACGCTTTGACCTGTATGAAGCAATTTGCAAAACA